GTTGGAAGGGGGGGGAAGTTGACATAAGAGCATTGGAAAGAGGACCGAACACAAGGTGAAAAAGCTTTGATGACAATTCCCTGACTTGAGAAGCAATCGTGTTGATCTCATCATCTGAGAAATGTCCTCAGTTATTGTCAGAATCTTTTTGGGATGTTGTTGAAAAGCCATTTTTGGTACCGGCTACTTCCTCATACGTGGAGGTCAAATCCGTCAGATCGCTACTTCCTCATACGTGGAGTTCAAATCCGTCAGATCAAGTACTGATACCGGGTATCGGTATTGGGCCAATACTTATTTCAAGTTGTCGGGGACTCGTGAAACCTGCGGGGGGAAAAAAAAAAAAAAAAATTAGTGCAGCGAGTGGGCAACAGCTCCAAGCATATCCAGCAGCATCTGCTCCCTCTTAGCGCCAACCACATTGATGTTATTGTTCCCCAAAGGGGCAAGGGGAGGGGGGGGTTAAGGGGGTGTTGGAGTTGGAAGGGAAGTTGACATAAGAGCATTGGAAAGAGGACCGAACACAAGGTGAAAAAGCTTTGATGACAATTCCCTAACTTTAGAAGCAAACGTGTTGATCTCATCATCTGAGAAATGTCCTCAGTCATTGTCAGAATCTTTTTGGGATGTTGTTGAAAAGCCATTTTTGGTACCGGCTACTTCCTCATACGTGGAGTTCAAATCAGTCAGATCAAGTACTGATACCGAGTATCGGTATTGTACCAATACTTATTTCAAGTTGTCAGGGACTCGTGAAACCTGCGGGGAAAAAAAAAAAAAAAAACAAAGTCCAACGTCAAATAAATAAAGTGGTCTGAGGGTGGTCGGTGAACGGTACCGCAAAAAGAGTGTTCGTTCACCGCACTTCCATCGCATGAACATTGAATGTGAGGATCCCCGATCCTGCTTTGGGACAGCGTCTTCCGCACTGACACCGCACTGCTGGAGTTAGCGTTTGAAATTAGAGCTTCGAGTCTGAGTGTGGGCTTCAAAGTCGGGTTTCAAACTCGGGCTTGGTATTCAAAACGAGGTTACGAGTTAGGCTTTTTTTCAGACAGCGATAGCATTTTAGCACAGGCTTTGGGTTTCAAATGAGCACTTCATACCTGTACTTCAAACCTCGGACGGTGTTTTAGATTTTGTTTTCAACAAGGGTGAACGGGGTTTACGGTTTCAAGTTAGGGTTTCAAGCCGGAGTTAGTCTTTCAATTTAGCGTGTCAAGCTTGGTTTGGGTTACGGTTCAAGCCAGGGCAAGGATTTGAAGACAGGATTACGGCTTGAAATTAGGATTTCGAATAAGGGCTTCGATTTCAAGATCGGGTTTACAGTGTCAAGGCAGCGGTTTGGCTTTTAAGTTAGGCTTTGAAATAAACCAAAGTTACAAGCAACGCTTCGGGCTTTGAGGGCTACTTGAGAGACAGCGAGAACCATGTAACGGGTTTCAAACTCGGGCTTGGTATTCAAAACGAGGTTACAAGTTAGGCTTTTTTCAGACAGCGATAGCATTTTAGCACAGGCTTTGGGTTTCAAGTGAGCACTTCATACCTGGACTTCAAACCTTGGACGGTGTTTTAGATTTTGTTTTCAACAAGGGCGAACGGGGTTTACGGTTTCAAGTTTGCGTTTCAAGCCGGAGTTAGTCTTTGAATTTAGCGTGTCAAGCTTGGTTTGGGGTACGGTTCAAGCCAGGGCAAGGATTTGAAAAGGGGGGTGAGGGTTTGAAATTAGGATTTCGAATAAGGGCTCCGATTTCAAGATCGGGTTTACAGTTTCAAGACAGCGGTTTGCCTTTTAAGTTAGGCTTTGAAATAAACCAAGGTTACAAGCAACGCTTCGGGCTTGGAGGGCTACTTGAGAGACAGCGAGAACCATGTAACTGCTTCAGATTCTGTTCGAGCCGACAAAAATCAGCGGCAGCTCCAAAATCAATAGCCTTCTGGCTAGCGGCTAACTGCTAACTGTGCGCGTGTGTGCGCGCGCCTTGTCGTCTGGCTGAACTCTGAGCTGCCAACTGGCACTTGACCTCGGTGGGATTTTTAGCAGGTTAGCGAGATGTTGGCGTCGGGCCGCTCTCTGCGTTCCCGTGCGGAATGTGTCGGACGTTTTTTGGCCTGTCCTCGCACCCCCCCTCCAAAAAAAAAGTTTCAAGTGTTTCCACCTGACGGGATTTTTTAGCTGACACGTGCAAGGTCGGCAGTTCACGCGGCCCGCCGTTGGCCAAGTGACACCAGCTTGAACTTGAGACGCGCGCACGCAAGAAACATGTTTCCAGTGAATGGGTACGGTCTTCAATTAGGGTTTTAAGATGGGGTTAGTGCTTGAAATTAGAAGTTGGGTGTCTAGGTCAGGTTTCAAGACAAGACCAATCAAGATTTGGGTTTTGAATAAGGGGTTTGAAGTATGTGTTAGGGTTTGAAAGCTTGCGTTAAGGTTTCAAACAAATACAAGGGTCTTGAGAAAGGTCTACGCACGGTTTCAAGCAAAGTTTAGGAATTCATCCAAGCGTGACGGTTTCAAATTCGAATTTCAAGCCAGAATTAGGGTGTGAAAGTTGATTTTTAGGACAAGGTTAAGGTTCCCAACAAGGGTACGGTTTCAAATCAGGTCTTTGGGGTTGAGCATTAGGGTTTTTGAAATCTTGATGAGGGTTTCAGAGACGAGTTTGCGTCAAGGTTGTGTTTCAGGTCAAGATTGGGGTTTCAAAAACAGGTTGGAGATTGAAATTCAAGTTGAAAATAAACTTTTGAAGAAGGGGTTTGAAGTCTGCGTTCGGGTTGCAAATCTGGGTTCCCAAAATGGGTTGGGGTTTATAATTGGGCTTTCAAAATAAGGTTTGGATCTGAAGTAAGAGTCTCAAGACAGGCTCAAGCGCTTCGGGTTTATCAAACACGGGTTAGGGGTTTAAATTAAGGTTTACAAGCAATGTTTCGGGTTTTACTTTAGGGCCCCGATTCTCGAATCAAACCGAGCAGGATTGCAGCGTTAAGTTTGCGGTTCAAACAAGTATTTCAAAGTCTTTGTACGTTTGCTTGTTTGTTTTGCTTTTGCTCGCAGTTACTACAACTGGACCAATCAGGCGACGGCTTCCACGTCCAGCTCCAACTACGACGTCGTTTACGACCGGCCCCGCGCGCTTCTCTTCAGGAGGAAGACGGACGGCGGCATCCTCAACGTGGACCCGCGGGTGAGCGTCGCCATCAAACACGCGCGCGTGCGAGGTGGCTTTTCGTGTTCGGGTCAACCCCCCAAAATTTTCTTGACAAGAACCTCTTCCGTGCACCTCCACTCGTCTGATTCATCGCGTAAACTTAAAATCATTGCTTTTGATTTGTCCCGACATCTACCCTGCGTGGAAGCAAACACCACCCGCTTTGTGTTGCAGGTCCATCCTGGCCAAGGCGTGCGGAGGAGCGCCGTGCCCTCGGGCCTTTATGAGCATGTTGTCATCCTGGACCACGACAGCGCACGCACACGCACCGCAGTATAATTTGACGAGTAAGAAAGGAAAAGGTCGGACGGGCAGGCAGACGTATCGCGCTTGCCATCTGGGCGGAGGCACGGCAACGTTCCCTTTTTAACTCGCCTATCAACGTAATCGTCAACAATGTGACTTCCACAATGTCAGAAGTTAGCATCAGCCAGACTCGCCTTTCATCTTTTCGCCCCTTTTTAGCTCAATTTGACTATTTTAGTCACAATCGGACCCCGCGGGTGTTTTACAGCCAGTCATCAAAGCTTGCCCCGCGCTGCTCCACTCACACGCAATGATGACAAATGTTTTGGGGTTTTTTTTTTTCTTTTTTGCCAGTGGGGAGATGATTTAGTGTCATTTAGCTAGCTATGATACGACGTTTGAATTTAGTCGCAATCTTTGGGACATTTGGCTTTGCAGGACCCAAAAAACGGTTACTTCAAACAAACAAAAACAAAAGGCAGACTTTCTGTGTCTATTCAGCAAAATATGTTTTGGAGACTTTTTGGGGGCAACCCACGATCCACTTTTCTGATCAATTTTGTGTTTGTTCCTCCATGAAACAAAAATTCAAGACTGCTGAAGTTGTTCAAATCGACCGTGACATGCCCACCTCAAAGCAAATTGGCAGATTGGGTTTTTTGAGACTTTTTTTTGTGGATCTGCTCACGTCATGTCGACATACTCTTAAGACATGTCCACCAAATTTCACGTTACTAAGTCAAAATGGGGGCGGCACAGGGTAAACTGGTGAGCGCATCCGCTTGACGGTGCAGAGGGCCGAGTTTCGATTCCGGACTCCGGCCTTCCTGTGTGGAGTTTGCAATGGTCTCCCCGTGCCTGCGTGGGTTTTCTCCGGGTGCTCCGCTTTCCTCCCACGTCCCAAATACAAGCACGGTAGGTTCATTGAACACTTTAAAATTGTCCTTCGGTGTGACTCTGAGTGTGAACGGTTGTTTGTCGGTTGAGGGTGTGCCCCGCCTTCTGCCCAAAATCCAGCTGGGAGAGGCTCCAGCACGGCCCGGGACCCCGGCGAGGATAAGCCGTTCAGATAATGGATGGATGGAGATCATAAAATTATCAAAATAACAAAACTACTAAAAGCAATGTAAGCAAAGCTCAAGTAAAAAAAAAAAAAAGTATAAATGATTTGTCATTTGGTGACGTTTTAATTCAGTTGATTGATTTGGACACCCGTGCAATTAAAACGAGTGCACTCAATTAATGTCGGGTTTTTTTGTTTGTTTTTTTTTAGCTGCCAATTTAAGACAAGCGTCACATTGTGTGCGCTGTTGTGGTTGTTTTGCGAGCGGAATGATCAGTCTCCTCCGTCCCGTCCGTCTTGTTCTTCCGTCCTCGCCTGTTCCGCTGAATTGTCTAAACAAATTAAAGACCAAAGTGCCCTGTGAGAATGGCTGAAGGGGGAAAGGGGGATGGGGGGGCTCTGCTTTTAGGAAACCCCTGATCGAAGAAAAAGAAGATAAAGAATGTTCAAAGCATCCCGCATGTTCTTGGCATTCACCGCGAGGCGCAGCGACTGTACAGGAAGGAACTCTCACATGTCCAGCGCAGTCCCCAATCAGAGCTTTCATTTTGAAATTTTTTATTCATATTACAATCTTTTTTAGGGGGGGGGCCGGGGGGCGTCCAGCTTCCGGTTCCTTTTGAATGTCCCCGTCCTTTTTCTGCTGGCTGTGGCGTCACAACAGCAATGCTACATTGACAGGCAGGCTCAAGATTTTGAAGAAAAAAAAACAAAGTGGCTATTTCACCTGTTTGTTTGGGAGGGGGGAGGGGGTGGTTCAGTTAATCAAATCTGTTTGTTCTTTAGTCAGTCAGTTCATTCAGCTAGTTTGTCAGTTTGGTTAGTTAGCAACACTTGCGGGTGAAAATTATTTCAGTCTGCCTAATTGGCCTTATGTTAAGGAAGTAGTTTATCGCAAATGTTTGTTTATTAGCTCGTGTTAGTTCACCATTTAGCGAGCTGCTCTGCCATTTCTTCGTGAGCTGCTTCGTCGGTTTATTAGTTAGCTATTCGTTCAGTAAGTCAGCTAAGTTGTTAGGAAGCTATCTAGTTTGTCAGTTAGTTAGTCAGCTCGTTTGTTGGATAGCTAATTTATCCGTTTGTGGTTTGCATTGTGAATGAATGTGCCAGTTAGCGAGTCTGCCAGGTTTTTTTGTGTTTTTTTTTTTTTTTTTTTTTGCGGAGGGTGGGGGCGCGGGTTGCCTTTTAGTCAAGTGGCTGGCCGGCTCATTCGTCCGCAACTTCTTTCGAGTTTGTCAGATGGATTTACATCGCTTTGCTTCGGCGAGCTCATTCAAATTTGTTCTTGCTTGTCTTAAACGGTCCAAGCAATAGCATTGCATGTGCGACATATTTATTAGCTTTTTTTTTCGAGTGGTTTTCTGCTGTCCTTAGAAGTTTGAAAGGTCTTCGAAAGGCAGTCAACACATTCAACTCTCGATGAATAACGCGACAAACTGGAGCAACAAGACTGAGCGGTGCATTTAAATACAGCACCACAAAGAAAACATCCGTGCTGGCATTTCTTGGTCGCCGGGCGTTTGGAATTCCCGCGTCAATCGTCTGATGTAGCTAACGAGCATCTGTGGGTCGTAGCTCGGAAAGAGTCCGTCTCACGTGGATGTAAATTGTCATGATTGGACAATAAAGTCATTGAAATGTTTGACTTTTATTGCCTCTTTTTTTTGGGGGGGGGGCACTTTGACTGAGTGACGCTAATCGGCTAATGACACTGACGACAGATGCAGTTCACATACTTTTGCTTTACAAGAAAAGTTCACCTTTTAAATTTGATTCGACTTGACTACTGCTTTGTTTGCTAGTTTTGTCACTTCCTTTGTCAGTCACCGAGCAAGCTTATTGTCTCAGATACCTTTTCCACTGAATTAGTTTTCCCTTCATGAGTTTTCGTAACGTTAGTCATTTCTTCAATAAGCTAGTTGATTAATTTATCAATTAGATAGTTTGTCATTTCTTTTGTTAGCTTGTGCTTTAGTTGTTAGTCATTCTTTGGTTCACTCGTTAATTGTTTAATTCTGATAGCCATCGATAGTTCTCAAGGTCAACAGTTAGCTTGCCAGTGAGCTTTGCTAGTTCGTTAGTTTATCGGCTAGTTCATTGGCTAGCTTTTCTTTTATATATGGGTTGGTTAGTTGGCTAGTTTGTTAGCTGGCAAGTATATTAGCTCACCGGTTTGTCCATGATCTACTTGGTCGATGGTTAGTGTGTCAATTCACCAGTTAGTTTGTGCAAAAGCCAGTTAGCCTTGTCTGACTTTTGCAATTAAGAATGAAGAACAAAAAGACACTGCAGAGTTGCTCCTCGAAGTGAACTTGCCGAGCTGTCATGGTGACATTCTGCGCACTTTATTGTGACATTTTCAGGCCTATTTTCCACAAACTGAGTGGCTTTCCACTGTTGTACAACATTGACGGATGCGCTTGAGTTGCTCCAGCTGGACCCCCTCTCAAGCCTCCTTTCAACCCCCTCCTCCTCGTAGCCCCCGCATGCGAGGGTCCTAAACGCGTTCAGTGTGTGGACGACGTCGCATGTTCAAATTATTGCAATCAGATGTCAGAGACGGAGAAATGGCCTCATCGTTTCCTCCCCGGCGCCCCTGAAAGAGAACACCAGTCGTGGGGGGGGGAGTGGGAGGCGGGCTTCGCGGCATCCGGACAGGAGCGTGATGCTGCAGGATGTGTGTGCTTAATGCCATTGAGGTGCGCTAAATGAGAGGCCGAGCCTTTAATGCGGACAATAAGCTGCCGCTTTCACACGCGTCTGGAGGGGGGGGGTCTGTCTGTAGGCTCAGACTCTAAATGTAGACTCATCCATGGCTTGTATTCACTAAAAGGTGGTGGGGGGTGCCATTGATAGATTAAAAGTTATTGCCAGTGTGGTGTGACAATTAGAATTTTTGTCATCATTTTTGCCAATAAAGATGCTTGCTTTGGAGGTTTTGTTGTTTTTGAGAGGGTGTGTGTGAAGATTGCACGAAACATTTTTGGGACTGTCTGCGAGTGGGTGCGCCAAAAGTTTGAGAGAGGTGTGCACCAGTTCTGTCGGGATGTTGAACTTGCTCAAAACTGGATTGAACATTTTTTGAGGGTGTCTGTGGATAATAGATAGTGGATAATAGCTGAATGTTATTCTCCAGCGTGTGCGGCGGTGCACCAACTCTCTCGGGTTTGGGGTTTCGAAATGATTATTGAACATTTTTTCAGGATCTGTGTAGATAATAGAAGGTATGTTGGGGGCGTATGCGACATCTCTGTTGGCATCTTGTAGCTGGTGTTGGAAAGATTGTATTGTTTTTTTTTTTGTGGGTATGTGCAAGGATGAGGTGGATGAATATTCAAATGCTGTGTGGGAGGGGCATCTATATTTCTCCAGGTGTGTTGCATGGTAAAAGAGATGTTGAACTGGGATTGGAAAAGACTACGAAACATTTTTGGAGGGTGTGTTCAGTTGATGCGGGATGCGCCAAATGCTGTTTGTGAGGGTGTGCAGGGGGGCGCTTTGTAAGAAGTTGAATGGGCTACACAAAGACTGGACAAAACATTATTGAGGGTCTGTGCAGATGACACGTGGTGCGCCAAATGTTGGCGAGGCTGTGTGGGGATGATGGGGTGCGCCACCTCTGTCGGGATGTTAAAGTAGTGCACAAAAGACTGTACTAAACCTTTTGGAGGGACTGCCCGCATGAGAGGTGGTGCGCCTAATGTTTGCAAGGGTGTGCAGGGATGAAGGGGTTTGCCAGCTCTGTCAGGGATTAAAGATGGTTTGAAAAGAACAACAACATTTCTTTGAGGGTGTTTCAAAGGGAGAGGGGGTGCGCTAACACTGTCAGTATGTCAAAGATGTTCAAGTTTTCGAAATACTGTAGCACTATTGCTATTTATTTATTATTATCTGCTATTTATTTTTTTTAATTTTTTGCACAACTGTGTGCGAGTAGAGATTGGCATTGTTGGTGCGCCAACTCTTTCGGCATGCGGAAAGGGGTGAACATGTCCTCTACGGAATATTGAATTCAATTTAACGGTTCGGCTGCTTTTCAACGAGAGAGAGAGAGAGAGAGAGAGGGAGAGAGAGCGTGCGAGATAAAAGTGAGAAAGAGAGAGAGAGAAAGAGAGAGAGAGAGAGAGAGAGGGAGAGAGAGAGCGCGAGAGAAAAGAGAGAAAGAGAGAGAGAGAAAGAGAGAGAGAGAGAGAGAGATAGAGAGAGAGAGCGAGCGAGCGAGCTCAGACTACCCAGCTGGTCCCAGTAGCCTTATAATAGCGAGCTGAAGATCGCGGGGTTTCAACGAAAGCTGAGCCTCGGACCGGTCGGCTACTACCCAGCTGGTCCCAGCAGCCTTATAATAGCGAGCTGAAGATCGCGGAGTTTCAACGAAAGCTGAGCCTCGGACCGGTCGGCTGCCTCGCTGCTCGGTTGGCTGCTCCTCACATCAGCGCGCAGCCGCCCGCCCGGGAGTCACACGGCCCAGCCTCGCGTCTGCTTTGCGGCCACCCGCACTGGACTCGCCCGCGCCACTCCACCCCCCACCGCTTGTGATGGTTCGCCGCTCGGGTGATGCCCATTCCCGCCGGAGATAGGAAGCTCCGCTCGGAACTTGTGTGAAACTTCTCGAGAGCCATTCAGGTCGTCTTCGCGTGATGGCTTTTTTGGTGCCGCTCGCGCTCTTCGCGTGGACCTGCTGCGCGCGCCTCGGATACTGCGCCCTGCTCCCCGCCGAGGGGGATTTTACGCGCGCGGTGGAGCGGAGGCACCCGGTGGCGGCTTCCCCGATTGCTCCCGTCGTGGTAGCGGGGAGCCCGGGTGGGCTGTCCCAGGACACGGTGACCGAGCACATGCACATGCTGTACGACAAGTACAACAAGGCGGGATTCCCCTTCAAGGACGGGAACACGGTGCGCAGCTTCAAGGCGCACTGGGGTACGTCGCAGAAGCTGTATTTTTTACGCGCACACACCAACAACAACAAAAAAGATGTACAACACGCGCCACAAAATGCATTTTAAAGTCCACAAATGCACAACAAGTTGACTTTTCCTGCAACGTGCATGTTGTAGTCGTGAGTCACGGACGCTCATCCACCTGTTGCAGTTTGTTGCCTTCAGGAGGACAACTGCCCTCCGCCAGCAAAGCGCTCTCTCTGCTTCTCTTCCCTCACATTTTTTTGGGGCATGTTTGAAAAGGCTTTCATGTTAATTCCCCCGCAAAACGTTTCATCTCATTTTCTATGTTATTGATTTCAATTTGGAGTGAATATATATATATATTTCAAAATGTGTTTTTTTTACAATATCACGTTGGGTTTTGTGAAAGCAAATCAAGTCAAGTCAGTCGCGACGGCTTGTCGTCGTTTTGCTTTTGGTTTTCTTGGCTTTTGCTGCCCCCTGTTGAATGCTGCGAGACATGCACTTTGTTCGGGACACCTGCTTCTCTCACGGACGTCCTAATATGAAAAAAAAACTCTCAGGGACGTCCTAATATGAAAAAAAAAGTGTCCTTGTGAAGATAATCCAATTGTTGTTTTATAATCTGACAATGAATTGCTCATCTTTCTTATTAGTGTGGTCAAAATGTTGTCATCTTGGTTTGTTCGCAAGGGTGCTGGAGCCGATCCCAGCTGTTTTCGGGCAGCAGGGCGGGGAACACCCTGAACAGGCCGTCAAACGATCGATTGCAGGGCACGCAAAACAAACAACATTCACAGCCACGTCTGGGAACATTTTAAAGACTTCCTTTAACCCGCCATGCATGTTTTGGGGGAATGTGGGAGGAATCTGGAGTACCCGGAGAAAACCCACGCGAACTCCCCACGGGAAGGCCGGAACCCAGAATCGAATTCCGGACCCCTTTCCTGTGAGGTGGACATGCTAAGCAGTTGCCCACCGTGTCGCCGACCTAAAAGAAGCCAAAAATCGAACTTGTCGCGGTCCTTCTGTCCTGGATGCCATCTCTGACCGTCCCGTTTGTACTTTCAGGCGTGATCAACAAGAAGCAGCTTCAGATCTTCAACCTGACGTCACTCACTAAGTCCGAAGACGTCCTCTCCGCCGCGTTGCACTACTACATCGGGGACCTCCGCAACGGCAGCGGGTCCTGCACTCGACCCCGAGGCTGCGTCCTTCACGGCCCCCACAGGCGCAGCCACGTCCAGGCCGTCATCTGGAGCTTCGCCCCCGAGGTCGACCGGATGAGGACTTTGGGCCAGTTCCGCATCAACGTGTCCAAGCACGACCGGGACTTTATCTCCTGGCAGTGGAAGGACATCACCCGGGTGGTCAACCAGGCCAAGGCGCACCAGCAGCTCCTCATCGGCATCGAGGTGGCCTCGGGGGGACCCCGGCCCTGGAAGGAACTCCTGGCTGACCGCTCCCCTTACATCCTGGTGTACGCCAACGACTCTGCGATCTCGGAGCCCGAGAGCGTGGTGGCGACCCTCAGGAGGAACCCCTCGGCAGGGGACCCGAAGGCGGGGCAACGTGAGCGCAACGCGACGGAACCGCAGCGGAGCTCTTCCAGATCCAAGCGCTCTGTCAACGTCCCGCTCCCCCTGCAGAACAACGAGCTGCCCGGACCCGAGTACCCCTACGAGACCACCGGTTGGGACGAGTCCAGTCCCTACGAGCCCTTCCGGAGCAAGCAGGCCCGCCGGCCACTTCGGAAAAAGAGCCGCAAGAACCCGAGGCACAAGATGCCTCTGCTGCAGTTTGATGAGCATACCATCAAGAAGGCCCGGAAGAAGCAGTGGAACGAGCCCCGCAACTGCGCACGGCGCTACCTCAAAGT